CATTGTAGACGAAAAACTAATTGGTGATAAAAAAGGTCCACCAAAGAAATATTCTTATGTCGTTTGAATATTCGTCTTTAGTGACTTTCAGTAACGTGTGTGGCCTCCATGAGCCCTAATCACGGCTTGACAACGACGCGGCATGCTTCGTATGATCCTCCGAATATCTTCTTGTGGAATTCGCTCCCATTCTTCAATCAACGCTTCAGTGAGCTGCTGCAGTGTTTGAGGTGCAATCGGACGCTTCCGGATGCGCCTGTCAAGCAAGTCCCAAATGTGTTCAATTGGATTTAGATCAGGGCTCATGGAAGGCCACTCCATTACACGGATTTCCTGCTGTCGTAAGTAATCTGACGTGATGGCTGCAGTATGCGGCCTGGCATTATCTTGCATTAAAAGAAAATCTGGGCCCATACCGTATGCTGCGGGCCAAACATGATCTTCGAGCACATTTTCAATGTAAGTTTGAGCACACAAGCGCCCGGGAACAACGACGAGATCTGTGCGCTCGTCCAAACTAACTCCGCCCCAAACCATCACAGAGCCACATCCAAATTTGTCATATTCCTGGACTGCTGCTGCACTGTATCGCTCGCCTGGGCGTCTGTAAACACGGAGACGACCATCGCAACGTGTTAGACGGAATCGTGATTCGTCAGTAAAAAGCACTGGCCTCCAATGTCGAAGTTACCAATTATCGTGATTTTGCGCGAACTGTCGGCGAGCTTGTCTATGTTGAATTGTTAGACGCACAGCCCGAACTGGTCGGCGTGATCTCAAATTGGCTTCCAACAACCTATTTCTTACCGTCTAGTCGGAAATTTCTACACCAGTAGCCGACCTTAGTGTATTTTGTAGATCTCTTGCAGTTGTGGTGCGGTTACGTAAAGCACAGTTGACGATGTAGCGATCTTGCAAACGTGTAGTTTTTCTCTTTCGACCTTGACCACGCCTTCGTGAGTATTCTCCCGTCTCAACGTAGATAACAGAAGGGGCTACTCCTAGATCATTTCCTACATAACGCATAGTTCGACCCTCTTCAAGCAAAGCGATAGCTCGGGAGACATGCAATTCAGTCAGATCTGGCATTATGACCTAAACTCACTCGCTTCAATGAATAACAATACTCAAAAGGCTCACTTCAATTTCTATTAATACTCAAAATATTGAAAAAAACTACTTAAAATGTGTTTTCTGTGATTAGAAAGTAATGAAAATTCAAAGACGTCGCTTTGTTTTTCGTCTACAATGCACAATTTAATTTTTTTTTAATATAAAAAATACAAATTGATTTTTTTTATTAATTGTAGTAATTAACAAATTAATAAGGTAAAAAATAGCGTACAAGTTAATTTAAATCTAATTTTAGTTTAAGCAATAGAAAGGAGAAAAATCTTGTTCCGCTAATTGTTTTGAGCAGTATATAATACAACCTGTTGGTGCGACTAGTTAATTTTTAATCGACTAAGCGTATTAGCAGTCTTTAATTGTTTAGGCTATCGCGGAATGTGCTTAAAGGAGTATTAAGAATATCCATAGCGCTAAATCACCTGAATTATGATCACATCCCACATACACATCATCACACAACAACGCCGAATTAGGTATTACTTAGTTAAATGTATTTAATATTTTATATTGATTTTTTCCATTGGTAACCTTTTTTGTATATATTATGTATTCCATCTTTGGCTATATCTTTAGTAAAATTGTTTTTTGTTATATATAATTTACGTTAGCTATATGATTACGAAATAAATAAATAAACATATGTTGAAACATTTTTTAATGTTTAATGGTGCGATAATGTATGAATATGTTAATTATAGAATAATACACATTACAGATACTTAGAACACTAAAATTATTTAAATATAAGTTTATCGTTTCAAGAAATCACTTTTTCATAGTTTTTCTGTTGTTACTAGAATTGAAATAATCAATTTCAGTTTGCATCACCGACGGTGGCGAGTGCAGCGTGTGGTAGCAGCTCTTCTTCCTCGACTTCCTCGTCGTCGTCATCATCATCATCCTCTTCATCAACATCATCCGACTCAGATACCCCTGATGCGGGCACACAGAACCAGCCCGATGACTCGAATGTTGCCCTTGCCGCGGCCTGCCAGTTACAGGTATTTTTTATTTCATTATGGTTGAGACGAATTAATGTATTTATTTACAAGTCCGTGATTTTATTGTATATATTTTTGATAAAATTTGTATTAAGTTACAGTACATATTACTTAACTATCTGATAAAAATATACGTTCCATATTACTTAACTATTTGAGATTGTTATGTATAAGACCTTAAATAAATGTATTTGACCAAAATGATGTTCATAATAGTTCATATATAATATATCTTTCAAACTGTTTTTTAATTACATAAAATTTCCTGGCGTTTTAAACCAAAATTATTGGATACAATATACGGCTTAAGAAGACAGAAAGTTTATATGCCTTTCAATTAATAATTAAGATATAAAATTTAATTAATAAACTATATTTTAGTAAGTTTACTTGTCTTAAGGTCGATTTTTCTTAAATGTAAGATAATTTGTGAATATTACAGGATATTAATAGTTGCAGTTTATTGCAATGTAAGACAACTCAGCGACGGCTTATTTAACTGCTCGATAGATAATTCTTAAATTAAAAAATCTATATGTCATGACGTAAACCACAAAAATAAATTTGCAGGTCATCGACGATGCAGACCTCGCGGAACTATTTCCAGAGCAATCGTCGAGTGCGCCGGTGCAGCAGACTAATTTCACGACGTTCGCTGAACACAACGCGGCACCGGACGACGATAAATCTACTGTTGATAATGGTAAGTCTTTTGGGAATATGATTTGGAACGTTAGGCAAAATTCGAGCTTATCTAAATCCAGTGGCTATTAAATGTGACCTTGTTATTAATATTGTGTAAATCTCAATCAAAAAAAAATTTCTTTATACCTTTTTAATTATTTCGTATATCGTAAACAATCATAATTTTAGTGTTATAAACAAAAGTAACGTTATAATTATTTTCCAGGCGACGGATCCAGCAGTGAGATGGAGCTTACGCCCCAGTTAGTTACTGCTGCTATACAGAGAGCAACGGCTGATTCCTCTGGATCGGAAAATGAATGCTCCAATTCGGAGACAGTACAGAATACATCACACTACGCGTCAAGTTTATTACAGCAGTTTGTGGCTCAAACACAACTTTTAAGCAATTCTGCACCTTTAACTAATATGAATTCTTCATCAATATCCTGTGGATTAAATGCAAAAGATGGAAACATTCAATCGACGATCGGGGATTGTGTGCTGGGACAGTTAAATAATCTGCCAGAAATATCACCAATTACACCTAACTTCTTAAGTGGCAGTACCCACTTAAGTCCCCAGCATACTGAAGAGTTGTCGCTAATAAATAAAGATCTTGCGGAAATATCTGTTGCCGATTCGGTCGATATACCCGACCCACCAAGTTTAGACGACTGTGTTGAGAATAACGACTTTATGAACCTGGATATAGCAGGAACTTCGGTACTGGGTAGTGCAAGTGATCTATTACAGAGTTCACCTATCACAGTCGCCAATAACGATATTAACTCGTTGAATCAAACTGACGCAAACAAATTGTATACAATCAGTACGAATTCGCTTGAATCTCAAGATGACTCGAAAAATGTTGTCGTTGAATCTAGAAGGAAAAGAGGTCGACCGAGAAAAGTGAAAAAGGTTGAGGAATTTGTTAAGAAAGGAGCTGAATCTCAAGGAGATGACAAACAAGCCGCTAATGTCGTCAATCACTTTCATAATGGTAATGACCCACCAAATGTTTCGCCTGATTCGGGAATTTTATCAAATCATAATTCGCCAACTCAATCACCATTACGTCGCCTTGATATTGATGAGGGTAGTAGCAGAAACCGAAGGAAATCTGTTCAAAAAGAAAATACGTCAGAAAGAAAAAGTGCAAGGTCGAAATCCAAAACGAGATCCCGAACTCAAGATAGGTCTGATTCCAGTGACAATGATTTTAGAAAGAAAAGAATTGAAACTGAGATCAAACAAATCAAAACAGAAGCCCCATCACCCGTCCCATTGAAGCAAGAACCGAATAGATTGGAAAAACCAAAGAAAAACGACCGTAAAATCGATATCGCGGCCTTAGATAGAATGCTATATGCGACGGATAGAGTCCTTTATCCGCCACGAAAAAGGCCGGGTAGGAAGCCACAAGCGAAATCAAAACCTATAAAAACAGCTTCAAAAACACTAAAAGATAAAAATCAGTATAACTCTGGTGACAGTGATAATGATTCAGCTTCTCCGAATAGATCTGTTCTGTCAGGGGTATATGCTAAAAGAAAAGAACTCAATAGTAAACTTGCAGTCTTGCCAAAAAAGAGCAGTAAAACAATAACTAATACTTGGAGGGAAAATCAAAGTGAAAATGAAGCTGCCGCAGATGACATGATTGACCCTACATGGAAAGAAATTGATCTAAATCCAAAGTACAAAGAACTCCTCTCGGGATATAAAAGTGATTATGAATTTAAACCATACAAAAGCTGTAGTAGACTTATTGAATCGGGTTATAAAAGCGATTATGGATTTAGAAGCGGCTATAAAAGTGACTACAATCGCTCTGGTTACAAAACTGATTATAAGTCGGGATATAAGACTGATAAATCGGGATATAAAACTGACTATAGTGTTCGAAGTGGCCGAAGACGAATCAAGAAGTTGAAAAAGACGAGATCCGTTCGCAATAGGTCATATTATAAAAATCAGAAGCATTTTGTATCTGATCAAGAGATATTATTGTTAAGCAATAAAACATTTAGCAGTCTCACGCTTGGGCATAGTTCAAGTGACTCTGAATGTGATAATTATATGAGAAAATCTGCCGCAAGTCCAAAATACATTAGTGTATGTACGAAATATCCATTACCATCGAAATATGACTACAGTTTTAAAAAAAATAATCAGAAAAATATGTTGCGGGTTAATTCATCAGATCCTTTTGCTCCAGGACCAGTCTTTAGCGGGTTACAGAGACCAGTTACAACTTATAATATTTTTAAAGTAAGCCATAATAATAACAATACTCTTTTAAAACCTCCAGGGCAGTCAAAGGCTTCAAGTGGAACGTTACTCCCATTAAAACCCGTTTTTACACACAAATTCGGAGTATCGCCTTTAACGTCAACAAAGCAGTCGCATAAAGAAGTTGATAAAATAAATAGCAGAAATCTCTCTCCGAGAAATCGAAAGCAGGCTAAATTTGCATTGACAGCCCCTTTACCAACTCCTAAGAAGGAACATCTGAAACCATTACCAAATATATTCGAAAAGGCAAAAAATTGTTACGTTCCTAATAAGTCTTTATCACGCAATGTTTTTCTAAGTTTCAAAAAGTCTGACATCAAACCAACGTATCATATAAAGAAACATAGGAGAACTGTAGTTCTTGCTCCACCCAAGATCAACTTAAAACCTACAGAGAGGCCATCTCGAATCACAATTAAAACAGAAAGTAAACATCACAGACATCGAAGTAAAAGACGACACAGGTCGAGATCAGTGTCTCGGTGCAGAGAATCTGCTAACCGTAATGTAGCTGAAACAATTGATCAAAAATTTAATACTGATATGGACAATCTCATAAACAATTTTATTAAGCTGTGCCAGGTTGCACCAAAATTATTGACAAACGTCGGATTAAACTCTCCAAAGCATGTAGAAAAGGAGAAGCCTCCTTCAGAGACCGCTGCGGCTAAGGTAGTAAAACGAACTTCGAAGAAGCGTAAAACTTCTGACAATTTAGAAACTGCGACACCTACATCAAAACGAAGACATAAAAAGCAGTTAGCAGAATCTCAAAATAAGGGAAAAGATACAAATGAACATAAACTACCGCTTAAGAAAAGGCATTATCACATAAACTCGTCAACCAGCAATTCATTAAGTTTAAGTTTGGTGACCTCTGAATTTGATGAAAATTTGAAGAATGAAGCTGGATCTGAAAAGTTTTTGTGTACAGAATCTGATTGCCTTGTTGATTTACAAACTCAAGATTCTGAAGATTCACCTAAATCTAAGTCGGTTTCTGAAAAATCTAAAAGACCGGGTGAGAGTTTAAAAATTGTTACGGCATCTGAGAGTAAGATTATTTCAGATTCACTGCCGAAGGAAATTAAAACAGATGGTGATACTAAAAACATAATAATAAAAAATGATGAAAGCAACTCTCCAGTCTTGGATGATTCTGCTTCAAATTCAATTAACATTACGGACGATGATTTGTTGATAAAGAAGCCATCGGCAGAACAGTCTGAACTGTCAAAAAAAATATATGAAACCTCCGAAAAATTAAAAGCTGTCCATAAAATGGTTCATGATTTAGAGAAAAGCTTACCGAAAACGAAGGATGTCGATGTTAAACCAGAATCATCAAAATTAGACAGCAGTCGAATTTCCTCCCCTAGATCTGAAACGAAATCATCACCAATGCGAAATCCCATAGTGACGCCGAAAAAGCGCCATAGGCTGGAAGCTGAAAAGGATGCATCACACTCCAACTTAAATAATGTTGTGCAGTCTCTATCTAAAAAAATATCCGAAGAAAAGCCTTTGATCTCCGATAAGAAAGATATAAATGAAAATACATCTCAGGAAGATATTAAGGATGGCGATAAAACGACATCTCCTTCACCAAACACCACATCAGTTCCAGCGTCAGGTACCGGAACTGATCCTTTGAAGAGTATGTCTGCCAGATCATTATATAAGAGTGCAATTCCACCTGCACAGAAATCAGAAATAATGACTCGGAAGAAAAACAGGCTCGAAGGCTTAACGAGCAATTTAGTTTCCAAAATTAATCCGAGTGCCGCTACTAAAGTACTTGATACACTTTTAAACAACAACATAAGAAAATCAATAGAATCACGAATATTGGAAAAGGAGAAAAGTAATTCTGACAGTAGTTGCAGTAACAAATCAGATGATAAAATCAGAGGAAAAGATTCACCGAATAATCAGATAAACACTAGAGCCAGCGTCATTAAATCTCCGGTATCGAAAGGAAAGCTATTGGAGACTAAATGTAAAACCAGAATATCTGACTCGTTATCGGGTAACACTGTGGTTGTAAACGTCGATAATCCCACTGGAATTTTTGAATCCTCTGTAGACTTAGAAGACCAAATTCCTAAATCATCTATATGTGTCAGTAACATACTAGCCGAAAAGAATAAAAAATTGAAAAACCACGATTCGAAAAGTTCTATATTATCTTCTATCGATACTGAATCGGATTTACCATTATCGTTGATCGCAGAATCTTCTGATTCTATTTTAAGACCTAAACGAGGGGAATCTATAGCGGCAGTCATATCTGATAAAATCCAAGAGACTGCTGGTGGCCACAACTTACGACAACCTAAGAGAAATTTAATGACTGATAGTGATGATGCAAACGAAAAGAAAAAGAAGAAAACTTCTAATAATATCATAAGAGAAAGTAAATTAGTTCTTCCCTCTAAAATATTAATTCCGAAAGTTCAAGCAGAGAGGATGCTAATTGGTAATATAATAAAGAAATCTCACTTACAAATTAAGAAATCTGAACAGACTGCTGAAGAACCCAACGATCCTATTAAAACTATTGATCCTGTCAAAAAGAAACCTCGAAGACGAAAAGCTTTCAATAGAACGGGTTTCCCAAATGTGAAACGCAAGAAGAAAAAGGTTGAATATAATAATTCGGCTAACAGCTCCCATGATCAATTAGGTTCCGAAGATACGGATAGTTCTGCATTTGAGAGAGTGCCGAAAGATGGTGAAGCTATGAGTAACTTCTTAGAACGCACTACTAATAAGCAACCGGAGTTAAAGATTGTTTTGAATAAAGAGGAATGTCCGAAACAAGGGCGTCTGACAGTTGTTGCGTTAGAGAAACTACAAGGAAGGGAAGCGCTAAATAAACCTAATAAACAAGGCGATAAAGCTGTTCCGGAAAAGAAAACTTCATCCATATTAAGAGCGCCTGCTTTACAATTAAAACAAAAGACTGATAAAGAAATTAAAAACCACGTCAATAAATGGGAAGTACTAAGTGAGACTGATAGTATACCTTCGTTAGCGAGTTCTCTTGGCAATGACCCTGAAGACAGTATTCCGTTGAGTTTATTGAACTTGAAGCAAAAGGCCAATAGAGTAGAAAATATTGAGCGATTAAAAAGGAAAAGTCGGGTTCTTTCACCTTCTAATGAAATCGAACAAATCTTTTCAAAACGCAAGGTCGTAGAGAAAACTTGCAAAGTTGGACTTCGGCCGAAATCGAGTCTGGCTGTATTGTATCCCAGTGAGCGAAGACATACGAGAAGTTTTGATAATACTGCTGAGGATGGGAAAATTAAGACAAGAAAATCAGAAAACAAGAAAGTTTTGGAGGTTACAGAAAAAGAAAAGAATAAACCCATGGGCATAATAACTAGGAGAAAGTCGAGATCATGTCAGCTGAATAAAAAGGTGGCTAATGATGTTGTAAACAGTTCAAGAGAGAGTTCATTGGAGACGATTGTTAGTCGTAAAATGCCGCCGTCACGGGAACCCTCTATCGACACACTCTTAGACCATGATGAAAATGAGCCCTTACCGCTCAATGAGAAAGAAATTGATTTCGAAAAAAGCATAGATGTTATATCCAAGAATATTATTTGTAAGAAGAGGGCCGCTGCTTCTCGTGATGGAAGCCCGTCTAACGGAGTGGATAGTAAAGAGAGAATTGTGTCTAAGAAAAATCCAAGGCTACGAAAGAAGTTCTTATTAGCCGGCTTATTTTCGGAATACTACAAGGAAGAGTAAGTTTTTTATTATTTGTATTGTTAATTAGATTCACGGCATTTCGTGTGGTGGCCATAGAATAAATATTTGCAATAATTGAATTAAACTATGATGTGTCAAAAATTTCGCACTGCATTACTATAAAATAATTAAATTGTAACAGAAAAGTCACTTAAGCAATATAAATATGTATTAAATATATTTTTTATATCGGACGTCCTAGACATTATTCCAATAATTTTATTTATTAATATAAATATTAAATTGTATTACTTCTAGTCCAAAGCCAGAAGGAAAAGGAAAGAATCTGATTACGCAAACAGAATTTCCCCCTGGGCTCTTGGGCCCGCCCCCATACTGCGAACGTTGGGTTCGAAAAAGACTCATTCACTTCACGCTGCCTTACGATATTTGGTGGGAACAACATTATAACCAACCAGTGCCTTCATGGAATTATAAGAAAATACGCACAAGTGAGTAAAATTCTATTCAATCTTCGAACATTGCCCATGTCATTTGATTCAAATAATTATAGCATCTAAAATATCAAATTCAAAATAAAATCAAAAAAAAAAAAAAATTTTTTTTTAAAAAAAAAAATATTTAAAAAATAATTGGGTAGAGGTTTTATACTAACTGGAGAAGCTAGGTTGTAATTTAGTTATGAGTGTAACTATTATTAATTTGTATGATTGTTCATAAAAAAAAAAAAACAATAAAATTTTTTTTCTTTACCCATAAGAATTATCAAAATTTTATTAATTTCTTACGCTATATCATTCATTTTTATTCCAGACGTTAATACTACATTATTTTGACGTTGGGAAAGAAAACGAAAAAAAATAAAAAACAAGCCATCAGCTGAAGAATGCGAAAGTGATTTGATCAATATGCATCACAATGCGCGGCGTCAAAAAAAAAAAAAAAAAAAAAAAAAATATTCCGGCTGTAACGAAGACTGTATCAACCGACTGGTCTATTCTGAGTGTTCACCTCAATTGTGTCCTAGCGGGTGAGTTTTCATTTTAGGATAAATCAATGGAACTATACTTTTAAGATAAGGTTACATAAGATACACAAAGTAACCATTTTCTTTTAATTTTGTATTGTACCTCTACCAATTTTTCATAATAAAGAAGTCTTTAATACAAAAATGTAATGTATTCAATAATTATTAGTGCTCGACTGATATTTCACTAATTGCGTAGGTATTCCGTGATCAGTCATGTCAGGAATTAATAGTTTTAATGAACATTTTAGGTCTCGCCCATTTCGAGGATATTTGTATGTGTACATTCTTCTAACTGTGATAGTTGCTTGTATCAACTTCTGCACTCAAATTCAAATTTTGCAGCCTGAAAAGTTGGTTAAATAATATTTTCAATTTGTGTGCACCAGTGGACTTTTACATGTGCCCAATACGTGTTCCTACGGTGTAGGAACATCGTATGGATTATAAAGTGTTGTTGCAATGGATTATTACTATTATTATACCTAGGTAACACTGAAAATGTTTATAAAATGAAAAAACGGCTTAATGTAGAAAGTAGCCAATATGTACTTTTATTGTTTCTCTCTCTAAGTAATCTCCGTTCCTGTCTACACATCGTCGCATTCGATGGAACCACTGAGAAAAGCAGTGGGCCCATTCTTCCTTAGTGGTCTCTTCTATGGCATTTTCGTACGCTTTCACCGCATATTCAGGGCTCGTAAAGCGAATACCTCGAATTTAATCTTTAGTTGTCGGTTCGTAACAATATATCCAGCTTTGATCACCTGTGACGATGTCAAATACAGCATTTGAGTCACCGCCGTTGAACTTCTAACATTTGGCGACACCAGTCCATGCGAAGGTGTTTCTGGTCGTCGGTTAAAGTATGGGGAATCAATCTTGTACAAAGCTTCCTGACGCCTAAATGTTCGTGTAATATTTTTTGATCTTGACTCATACCAATGCCTAGGCTTGCCCGTATCTGCTGATAGATCTTGCTCTATCATGCGTCGCACAGCACTGATGTTATCTTCAGTTAAAGACTCAATTGCTACGTCCACACTCAAACTCGTTAAACCAATTATTGTAAATAGTGGCACGAGATGGGGCTTCATTAAGAAATGCTAATCCGCAGCCTATCATAGCTTTGTTGTTGAGTAAGCCCACAACGAAAGTCATAATAAATCATTGACCAAAAATTTTCTCGCGTTAGGTTCATTTTCACGTGTAACAAGAGTTTTAGATTTGCCGCCAATTCACAAAAACAAATGACAAATGAATGAATATACTACATTAGGTTATTACCAAAGAGTTCTAAATTTTAAATTAAAAAAAGTTTCCATTAGCAATGTTCCTAACTGGCCAGTTCTAAAGATTTTCAGTGTTACCCACGTATTTAAATGTTTATTTTTTGTTTCTTAAATGTAATCAAATGCGCTATTATTACTATGAAACATTGCACAAAATAAATATTTTCAGTGATAAATGCAAGAATCAAAGGATTCAACGCCACGAATGGGCGTCTGGTTTGGAGAAATTCATGACTGAGAACAAAGGGTGGGGAGTTCGGACTAAACATAGGATAACGTCTGGAGACTTCATATTGGAGTATGTGGGTGAAGTCGTCTCTGATAAGGAGTTTAAGGTTTGTGATCAATTATTCTTGGTAAAGACGTTTAAAATAATGTAAAATGCCGATAAAAATACAATGCGATGTTTTTGTAAAATTTTGTTATCAACTGAAGAAATTATAATTAAAAATCATATAAACATTGTTGAATATAATCTCTTGTCTGGTCGATATTGCTTTAAAAATAATTTAATAAAAACCAACCAAAATACAATTAATAAAGGCGAAAATTTTCAGGAGCGAATGGCAACCCGATATGCCAGGGACACACATCACTACTGTCTACACTTGGACGGTGGTTTAGTGATTGACGGACATCGCATGGGCGGAGATGGACGCTTCGTCAACCATTCGTGTCGACCCAACTGTGAGATGCAAAAATGGACATCTAATGGTATAATATAAATTATAATATTATATTTTTTTAGTATAAATCTAGAATATAATAAATCCTATCAATGTGCTACAAGTTGACATTGTAACTGATACATTTTAAAAAGTAAATTCTTCTAAATGTTTAATTGTGATTGGTTGTACGATACTACACATTGAGTCTTTTATCTTTGATACACTGCTAAACGATTTTAATGACTATTGAAAAAAAAAACTGTATAACTAGAGTGACTAGTTAAAAAGTTTAGAATACCGGAAAGCAAATATTTCTATTTGGAATTGTAAAAGCTTCACATTTTAACAGTGAGATCTAAAACGGCCTGAAAGAACTTGATTGGTCAGGCCATCTCACCTAAAGAGATATAAAAAAATATGGAGTATACAATTGACGTGTAACCTTTTTATAGGTACTTTCAGGATGGCGTTATTCGCACTAAGAGACATCGATCCGGATGAGGAATTGACTTATGACTACAACTTTTCACTGTTCAACCCAGCTGTAGGACAGGTAAACAAAATATTTAAAAATAACTCGGTACTCGTTGTTGTACGTATACTTCCCGTTTACATTGCTCTTTTGCGTGTACCTCAGAATCAGTAAGGATTCTTGCGTCATCTACAAACTCTACTTATGCGTCGTAAATGGCTTTAACTCAAATACATTTTACTTTATTTGGTTTTCAATATTTCTCGATTTCCTTTAAAATTTATATTATAGTGAAATACAAATATCATCAACTACATTTTAAATGCACAGTTTGGTTTAAAAATTATGTATGTATTGTAAAATATATTGTCAAAAAATATATAAAATTAAGATTAATTTCACGAAGATAAAGATAAGATTTCCAACTTAGCTAAAATACATAAAAAAAAAACCAAATAAAATATAGATAATTAAACATACATTTTTATATTTCAGCCCTGCAAATGCGACTCGGAAGACTGTCGCGGCGTCATTGGTGGCAAGTCACAGCGCATAACGAAACAGCCACTGAAAACGCAATCACGGACACCGTCTAATGCCTCAAACCAATCAAGTACCTCTAACCAGCCGCGGGTTGGAAGACCACGAAAAGCAGTGAAATGTAATAAGAAATCTGACCAATTGAACGAATCGGCTTGCGACATCAAGAACATGACGATTTTGAAGTACCAACAACATTTGAACAAGCTCTGGCAAGAACCACAATTAAAACCTCTGACGGCTAAAGAAAGGACACTGGTTAAGGATAGGCATTGCTTCTTGTTTAGGAATTTGGAGAATGTAAGGATTTTTTATTTTTTAGATTATTTAATGAAAATCATACGGATTTTTGTTTTTTGCTTTTTGTTTTGTTCTAGTGCAAAGGTGTAAAATTTAAATAGTTTTTTTTATGCGCATTTGTAGAAACACGGAAAATCATAGTCTTAATCCTAATCCTTTATTAAAGATATTTTTTTTGCGTTTTTTGTTCTAATTAACTATAGTATATGCAACGAGTGGATTGTTTTTCTCCTAGTGCTAAATTAATTTTTTTGTTTAATTACGTTAGGAGAAATTCGCTAATCAATATAATCTTAGTAAATTTGTTGTATACAGTATATTTTTAATATACTTAATTTCCTTACCGCCTTTCCGTATATCGTAGTACCTATTCGATACCTTGCAAAATAAAAATGTGTGGATTTGTACAGCACACATATTGGACCATTGCCTTAAATATGCCATTTACTTTAAAGAACAATATCCACCGATTTTTTTTATATTTCAGGTTCGTCGTACCCGCGAGAAGATAACACTCCCCATGCCCCCATCGCCCGTATCTAATGTCCCAAGTGTCAGTTTGCCCCCCGTTCCCGAAGTTATCAATGTCGATCCGTTAGCCTTACCCGATACAATGAATCCTCAAGTTTTCCACAAAAAATTGCAAAATCTTCGAGCGTCGAAGGATGAAATACTGAAATTGGCCAAATTCGAAGATGACTCTACATTAGATAGGAAACAACGGCTGGGTCGAGTGTTCAAGGCCCTGTTTACAATTTTAACCACTTTTAAAGGTAATTGCATTTTCATACTTAAAGTAGTAGGTTATATGCGGTCCGAGTATTGTCCTAATGTTCTATTTGTTAGACTGTGAGTGAAGTTTAATTATTAATAAAAAAAATTGTAGATATACTTTCGGCTATACTATAAAATTAATTAAAGCTGTCTTAGTTACCATGGTAACGTAAATCGCACTAACGAAACACATTTTATGCAAAGACGTGCAATTATTGGGTTATTAAATAATATTTTAAATTGACGTTTTTGAATATAGATTTTTTTAACTGTGAACTGAAATGGGTTTAATTGTGAGTGGACAAATATCAACTTTCGTCGATAAAAAATTTCGTTCTTTTCGAGAGAATTCATTATAAAGAAACAACACAAATTTAATAGTCAAATTCATGAAAACTCGCTTTAAGATAATAATGGTTATCGAAGTTTTAATTGGTTAATTTTTAGTGTAAAAAATGCTTAATTTCGGTTCACTTTCTCGTACATAATTATATATAATAACCTTTTTTAGTTCTAATTTTTTTTTTAATTTTCAGGCGACGAAGACAAGCCAATCTGTACACCATTACTCAAACTTAAGAACCAGAAATCGGACTCTATATCAGATTTAAATGGTATTCAAAATAAAATAGATAACAACGACTATGAAAGCATAGTACAGTTCGACAGCGATGTTAGCGGACTGATGTCTATGCTAATGAGAGAGTATAGTAAAGCCACTGCTGTGGGATCGGCTGCTGCGCAGTTGAAAAAGGTATTTGCCTTTAAACGTGTTAAAATATGCTGTTTTAAAGTATATTGTATTAGTATAGTATAGTAAGTAATTTAAAATTAATAATATAAAAATTTAAATAATAATAATATAAAAAATAAAAATAAATTTAAATCGAACCCAGGACCCAATTATATGCCATGTATGACAACTAAGAAATCAAGTAGTGTAATTAACACTATATAATTATATAAATTTATTACGATCCGACAGCGTCGTCACCAAGCAAGAGAAATTGTGGGATGCATTAAAAGACAGAAATATTTAATTTAATCCGATGAAGGTGTTTATTCATTTGAGATCTGTATTTATTTATTTTATTTGGGTAGCCAATAATACTTACAAAACCTAATGTATTAACAAAGAATTGACGAGAACCAATATTTGAATTACTATATTTACCTAGGGTAGGCAAATATAATTCTTATAAATATTGGTGTGTCTGTACGTACGTAATATGACTAATAATGTAAAATGTAAAATTCCTGTAAGACAAATTTGCGCGCCATTGTGAGTGGCAGAATATGCGAACTTAAGATTGTACCACCTTACACATTTTTGTACCATATTCTTGCAATCAATTATTATTAAGTGTTTATGAGTGTGTGTGAGTTGTGAGACTATTTACTTAGTATATTATTTCGTATATCATGTTGGTAGAAGGCCTTTGTTTAATTAAAAATATTATATTGAGAAATTAAATCATACTGGGCACAAATTCTATTTATGGGATGGGAGCGTTATAAGAAAAGTTATTTTTATTTTTGTTAGCAGAGAAAAGTTTTAATGACCGTGTTTATGTCTCGTTCAATGTGAATTCATTTAACGCTTTTGAAATTACTGAATATAAACAATTTCAGGTCTACACAACCGCCAAATTGGAGTTTGCCGAACATCTAAGTAAAATCCTTGGCTCTCAGGAAAGTCTGCCATCTGGATTTATACAAAAAACTAAACCGGGTAAGTTCAATTTCTCATTTTTGTAATGCTCATAAATATTAGACTGTATAGGATAAAGTGTATTCTATTATTTTTAAATTACTTCAAAATACTAGTTACTTAGAGTTGTAGATTTTTATATAGATATATAATATAAAAGACAATAAAAAATTACGACTTAGCAAGTGACAATTATAAGAACGATTTATCATAGATAGTAATACAAAACAGGAGAAAATAAAAGTAAAACTTAACTAGTTAATATAAAATTACATGCAAATGTAAAAATAACAAATGTCATTATTGATAGAATATTGTTTACTGTTGCTAAAACGCATATTTGCTCTGCGTTTAGCTAAATTATTTCTGACATTTTATTAATTTTCTTATTTTTTATTTTCACAGTAACTTAATACTACTGCCATAGAAACAAGTAAACTAAGAATGTTATATCCCATATGGGATATATACATGAAATAAGAAAACCTAACATATTATGGATATTCTTGTGAATTCAATGTTATATTAATCATTAATTTTGTGTTATGTGTGTGTTTATTAAGTAATGTTACTTTTACAGAGGAAGTAATCCTGTGCATCTGCGGTCTACACGTAGAAGAAGGACTAATGGTGCAATGTGGCAACTCGCGTTGTGGTGTATGGCAACACGCGCGATGTATGCGACTCGCTGATACCAGCTCTACGCACTACTGCCATCTGTGTTCTACGGAGCCTGTAAGTTTTTAATGTTGTGTATATAATTATTGATAATTCGCTTCGATAACCTTATTTATGAAACTAACGGCCTGATAAAACTTGGAGGCTATTGAAATGATACCATATTATATATTACAGCAAAAGTGGCATTTGCAATATTCCGATTAATCAGTAAATTTTGTAAAAATTACTTAGGCCCGTATTGTAGAACGTCAATCATACTTTAATCTAGTTTTAAGAGCTGTGAAAACGTTTCTGTATGAAGTTTAAAATATTTGACAGTATAAGGTTCGATGTAGGGAATCAAGTAGACACGTCCATCTCGTATGATATATCGTGTATAATTCAAATTAATAATTATAGTACATTTCTCTTATAGACTAAAGCGTTACATATACGTATGTTATAGGTATCTTATTTTATACTGACACCACAACAGCGCTCAAAACGAGATTGTAGCTTGAGATAAGAATTAGAATATGGAACTTAAACTTGATGTTGCAGTCATTCGCAGACTGCGTTAGCTGATTATCCAATAAATTGACGTCAAACCAATGATATCGTCATTGGTTTATAATCTATTAGTCCATTGAAATGTTACATTTTTTAGGCCTTACCTTGCGTTTTTTAGAGGACGCAATTTTATTTTTTTGATGTGTAGAGGGGGTCAGTGTAAAGCTAAAAACAAGTTTGTGGGGTCGCCACCCTTGTCCCACGGCCGCCATCTTGGAAAAAGGGGTCCTAAAACCACGTTTTTGGCTATATCTCCTAAACTATCCATCGTACATAAAACTTGTAAAGACACATTTTGTAGCAAATCGCTGTGCCTACAATTATGTCTATGTAACTTTTTATCATAAATCCAAAATTCAAAAAGTTATAAGTAAAAAAGTGAAAACATTTCCTATTTCTAAAGTTGACTAGGTGCGTCAATGCTCATGACAAGCCGATAAAGACAGCAGTTTTACCTTACTTTTAAGATCTCTCGTTTATTTTAAACAAATTTTCCAAATATTTTTTTTTATTTTTTTATATTCCTACAATTTTACTTATTGGTATTCCTAGTAGGCCTATTCCACAGACAACTTGCTGATATGGTAATCTTCGACATAATTATATTATCAATCAGTTATTAGAATGGTAGCTAGCTATCACTTTTTTATTTATAACTTTTTGAATTTTGGATTTATGATAAAAAGTTACATAGACATAATTGTAGGCACAGCGATTTGCTACAAAATGTGTCTTTACAAGTTTTATGTACGATGGATAGTTTAGGAGATATAGCCAAAAACGTAGTTTTTGGACCCCTTTATCCAAGATGGCGGCGGGGGGGACAAGCACGGCAACCCCACAAACTTGGAGTTAAGCTTGTATTGACCCCCCCTACATGTTCCATAAATAAAATTGCGTCCTCTAAAAAACGCAACCCCAAATGTAACTTTTCAATGGACTATATACTCTAAACCTAAAATAACTAAATGTTCGGTCCATCTTATATATCAACTTGAAAATAAATGTTACTAAATATTTCCTACTAAACCAGAATTATAATTCAATTATAAATAAAAGCTTTATCCAATCAACCAATAATAAAACTTTCAACTATTAAAACGAAAAAACACACATTTTTAATAAAAGCGGTTGCGCTTTTGTTTTTTTGTGTATGTATTCTTTTTTTATTTTATATTTATGTGTTTCATTTCCTGTTATATAGGTGGATCGCGAAATTCCTCTAGACGAGTATACAGAGGAAGGCCATCAATTCTACTTATCGCTGATGCGTGATGGCCTTCAAGTAAGACAAGGCGATACAGTTTACGTGCTAAGAGATATACCCATTAATGATAAACATCCCGATGTCAGCCAAAAAACAGGAGATAAAACGGATTCGCCGAAGACTAAACGCGTCGACAGGAAGAAGTTAAAGAACATCAAGGGAAAGGAAAAGGAAGATATTACGGTTAATAAGGTAATTTATTTAGCATAGCGCCAGAAATAATGTATGATTGAGATTTCTTACACTCGCACACAGACACACGTGTACCGCACACATACATGAACATAGTATAGATAGTTAAAAGTGTATAATTTATTTTCAGGATAACGAGGTACGAAAACACACATACCAAACCATCGGATGCGTTCCAGTCTCCGAGCTGGATATATTCCGCGTGGAACGTTTGTGGAAACACAAGGACACGCAAGAGAGATACGTGTACGGGCATCATTACTTGCGGCCGCATGAGACATTCCACGAGCCCACTAGGAAGTAAGTGTATCTTAATGTTTTTACTGACTGTAAAAAAGTAGAGGTTCTAAATGGATCGTATTTTTCCCGATTACCAGATGAAACCTAGAATTTAAATAAAACATTCTTTCAAAGAAATTATAATATAACTAGGGAGTAAATAATTGGAGTATTTTTATAGTGCACCCCTTTTATTGACAAGGACTATACTATGTATATACTATATATGGGTTTTAATACAGCTTTATTTGGTCGGTTAAAGCGCTTAAGGATCATTAAAATATTTTGTTTAATCCTTTTAGTATGGAACCCACGGTTCTATATAAGAAAATATTTTGATCAGAAATTCATAAAAGCTTAAATAATTGTTGGTCTAGGATTTATTACTTTAATTTTATTTACAAACTTGAATGTTTGTTTCCACAGACGTACTCCACATAGAAAACATTATCAAAATAATCATACTTTATAGAAATAAAATGTTGAGGTCAAGAGGACACTTGCTCCAGTATAAAATTTGACAAAAGCTCTTATTTTAATTTTTTTGAATCCTTATATTTACAAGTATCTAAATGTAAGTGTTATGTATTTCCAGATTCTTCCACAATGAAGTAATGCGCGTACCCTTATATGAAGCCGTTCCCATAGAACTTGTCATGTCCCAGTGCTGGGTCATGGATCTCAATACATTCTGCAAGGTATATTTTTTTCAAATTTATTTACACTTTATTGAACAATATATAAACACATTACATAGCAACGGGCGGCATCATCGCTATTAAGCGATCTTTTCCAGGCAACATTAATAATAGAACACATAAATATAAAAAATAGGGAGAAAGTGCAGACTAATATTATTCTTATTATTAAATATAATAAATTAGCAAACTGTAGTGAAAAAGATAAAATTAAAAAAAATCCTTTGCGGTAACTTTCTTAAAGATGACATGATATTTAATTTAATTAATTTGACCTTGGTTGCTTAATTCGTAAGGGAGCTTTCAAGTATTACGTAAAGAATTTGGGGGGTCCTTTTGTAAAACGTTGCGGGGCGGGGATTGAATTACGCGTTAATTTTAATATTATTTTCGACTTTCCAGTATTTTACACCACATAATGGTAACTTTTAAGTAAAAAGAGTCACTGGGTGGTCACTAAACGGTTTACTAGTGGGTACGGAAAACCGTTACGGCGCGTTACATGGGGGGTGTTATATTATAATCTCCAAAAATTGCGTGACGTAATACTTGAACGCACCCTTAACGGTGTTAAGTTAAATCGGTGCCATTGATTTTAGTTTTATGAACAGCTTTTGAGTAATGAAAAAATTGTCCTACCTACTATTCAAGCAAAGTTATTCGTAGGCGTACTATAAATCTCAAATACTACAAGATTTTTTTTTGTAGTATTTAAATGCGTTTTTGTTATATCAGGGTCGGCCAGTGGGCGCATCTGAAGCCCACGTATACATCTGTGAGCTACGCGTGGATCGTACAGCGCATCTCTTCACAAAAGTGTCTCGACCGAAATATCCATTGTGCACGAAGCCTTACGCCTTCGACCATTTCCCGCAAAGGCTTAAAATTTCAAGGACGTACGCGGTAAGCTTATAAAGTCATAATTTATTAATATTGCTAACTATGAACGTTAATACTAAAAAAGGGAATAGGGGCTAAATTTATATTTACTACCAGTTCAATCAAGGGAGTAGAGCGGGTGAAAACTGGCAAAAAACTCCGCCACTCTTTTTAATCGCAAAGTTTTTTGTTTACAAGGAGATTTTGGTTTATAAGGAACTGTAATCATTAATGTGACATTATAGTGACAACAAAACACAAATACTAGTCTATAAGGTTGAGACGTGCTAAGTAACTGGTTGAAATTATTAATAATCTTTGACTGAAATAAAACGCGTTTAAGACAATTCTATAATTTAATTGGCATTTAAAATTCCTAAATAACTCACTATTAGTAATTAATTTTTTTATTTAAATGTTCATTTTATTTTTTAAAGTACTTCATGCTAAAGACACACATTTCTGCGTAATTTATGATATTTCTTATTCAGCTAATTAAACCTAGAACGGATTAAGTAAATAAAGAACGTCAAGAAAACCTAAGACGACCTCTGTGTTTGTTACACTCAGCACATTGTACTTTAGTATTTTGAAAATATGTATATCATTTTAATGTTATCTATAATTAATTAATGTTTTTTACAGCCTCATGAGGTGTTGCCGGAATACCTTAAAGGTCGCGCTGGCAAGAATTTCCTCGCCACGGACAAACCGAAAGCAACAAACGAAATTAAGAAAAAGCCATCAACCAGTGCAATTTCTAGTGTTAGTAAGGTAATTAATATATATATTATTTATTTACATACAAGTCCCAGACATTTTAATGTGTTAATTTTATTAGTCCTTTATTTAGATTGTTTAACTTGAAATTAACAGAACTACAGTTGTTTTTTGACACTGACTAATTTTATGGTTTTTTTGTGAATCTAAGAATTTGACATTTAAATATTATTCGATAAATAAGGGCAGATGGCATATATATTACTATATATGGCAACATTTAGACTCATATCGTACTATCAAATATTTGTCTAATAACTTGATACGGCAGTTTCACCCTTAGCGATTGCTCACTCGAAACGTAAAGTGTAAATAATGTAATATTCTCGATTTCATCAGTTAAATAAGTTTTGATTAAATGTGCAAAAAAATAGCCTTTATTTCGGACAAGTTCCTTTTCTTTACACACAATAAATTAAAATAACAAACTTAGTCCGTTTGCCGATCCCGACGAAGGCCTCCAGACCTTCCATTTAGCTCTTTCTCGTCCCACTCTTGACTAAACCTTGCCTGCAACTTGTTTTATTTCCAATTTTTTTACTGTCCGCCTTTTTCCAATTTTTGGGTATCAACTCATAGTTTTACTCTACATCCTAGCTTGCAAGGTGAGTACCGTCCATCTCGCCTTGTCCTTTCGAATTCTCTTTGTAATATCCTCTATCCTTTTCCTAATGTAAGTATCTCTTTTATTTCAGACATGTGAAGTAATAAAGCTTAAATCTTTTCAGGCATTATCCCCTGCCCAGCGACGCGAGCAGCAAAAAGAGCGAGTGAATGAAATAGCTCGAGGTCTGCTCACACGGGGAGGTCAACGTGGAGCAGTTGACGCATCGTATCTATTGGCGCCTCGCGTTGCGAGGAGACCTCGCGCCAGGCTCTCCTGACCACCAAGAAGTACATGCCTTACGTGCACCACTTGATACGTAACACGTGCGCAACGTACGAAAATTAAATAATTTATTACTAAATGAAATTCGGATCTATGGATATAGAGAATAACTGACTATTTATACTAATACTAAAAGCTGAGAAGCAAAATGTCTTATATTGTAAGTGCGGACTCGAAAGTTATGTATTCGCGTATATCATGCATTTGTGAATATTTATTTTAGTTAAACTGCTTCGTATAAATATCACGTATTGTAAGGGCGGTTCGAAGTATATCCTGTACATACATTTCGCATAATCACAAGTAGAATATTAATTGCACCTTATGTGTAAAAATTTTGTTACATATAAGTATAAACATTCCTTATGTTGAAAGTGGACAATAAGAGGAATGGCATGGATTTTCATCGGAATCTCTTGTATATAAAATATTTTTGTAACTTAACGTATTATTTATTTTCTTAGCTATAGAAATCTCAAATTTCGTGTGCTTATGCGTTTACAGATGTATTTCTATATAAATTAGTTATATATTTTTATAGGCTAATATTGTTAATTTATCATAGCGTAATTACTAAACGACCAGTGGTGCGAACTGATGTTGAGAGTTGAAAGATTTATAGTTAGGGAGTTGTTTGGCGGTTGTTATAGTAATGTTAGTATTTCTTCTAGGTTTTTTTAAGGTTTTATTTCTGGTCATTTTCTACGTCCCGAGGACAAAACTTTTGACTTTTCGTATGAAAATTCAGTCGAAAGTTTCGATACTTGCAAAACGTTATACACTGCTATCATGTATTAAAATCTCTCTATTTTTTACAAGTTAAGATTAAGTATGTAGATGGGGTCGGTTGTTTTTTAATATATTCGGTTATAAATGGCCGCGCGAAATCTTGCACTATGGTTCCCTAGTAATTATCGTTTATGGTATTTATTATGACTTTACGTACGTTTTATCTTTTTCGATCGTTACGTTTATCGTTTTAAAAGTTTTCTTCCCTCTTGACCTTTGCTTGTTTAGGTTCTAGCTTCAATCTATTAAGGGCGTGAACATTTTACTGATATAATTAATTCAAGATATTAGTCGAAGGTGCTAAGTAATTATATAATCGCTTAAATTTTAATTCAGTTGAATTGTTTTGTGTTCGTCCACCGATTTTTCAATATACTAGGGTGACCACAAAGTAGTATGTGATCGTTCGTGAACAAATTGTTTTTGTTTCTAATTTATTTGTAAAAACTGTTTTTTTTTAATCTTATCGCATGCTTTAGTTAAGATTGTGTTTTTATTGCTTTTGCACTTGCTTATACACGATAGGTTTATTGATCCCAAAAGTTTTTATATGTTTAATTATATTTTCCGTGGTTTTAAGATGTAGCATTGACCTAGCTTCGCTTCTATTATACAATTAAAATAATTCATTTCGACAGTCCGTTTTCGACAAACGACTCCAAGATTCAGGGATTCGTTTAAGTGGAAAATAACTCGTCCGTCTGTTGTAGCACTTTGGGAAAAATCCACAACCGTTGGATAATTCAGAGAATAAAGAAGATTAAACGTTGGATTCAAAATCTAAAATTAGTGCGAACTGACGTATGTCAAAAACGTGCTGGACTTGATGCATTTGCCAAATAGTTAAAGCTGTTGGCACATAAAAGGTTAAGGATGAATTCTTAGGTTATCTGGAAAGTCCAACTTAAAACAAGTTTAGGACCTGTTAAAATTTTATATGAATTTTAAGTCACTACGAGATTCTGACTTAATCTTATGTTGTCATAATTCTTTGACTAAGCAATTTGTCTCTGAATATTATAGAGAATGTACTGTCAAAATGTGTTTCTTTAAAAGTACAGTTCATTATTCATAAAAACAATTGCACTCTTTTAACAAAATAGTTTGTCTCTCTCCGTCTAGTTGTATTTAGCCTATGATAAAAGAGATATCAATGATTTTGGAAAACTGTGTTACTGATTTAGTTTTTATGAATAAGGGGCTTAATTTTCACTACTTCTTGATCACATTAGGTTTCGATATTTTATAAGACAGTACATGTAATAACTTATATTACAGATAATTAATTTATTAACAACACGTAGTGTTTTTTAAAGATTTAATTTTAATTTTCCTTAAATAGCTTAATATTTTAATCAGTGGAACTTTGTACAATACAACTTATAGTGTTAATAAGTAAGACAAAATAGCTAGAATTGGTTATAGAAACATATTTAATAGGTTGGTGAATTGATACAGTATTTAAATAAGCTCCTCCAAAATTCAGCGGCCTTATAAAACGTAGATAAAAGTATCGTGTTTTTGACTATGGTTACCATAGACAAAGAATGGTAACCATGGTAACAAACAAATTTAATCCACGTTTTAGAGCCGCAGATTTGTTCTCAAGTTCAATTGAGTTCTTGAAACGCGGGCTGAATAGTTCCGCCTGTATATCGTTAATTTAATGTATTAGCCCTACCGGGTGCTGATCTTCCAAATGAAACAGTTATATTTAATTGTCGAGTTTTATATCATTACATATATCAATATTTACGACAATTTGGTGGTATGAATCCTGCACTCAGTTAACCTTTGAATGTCACTACTGACAATTAGAAATACATACAGTCAATTCTATATAGCGACGCTGAAGTGCTAAAGAGATTATTGAGTTATAGAGAGATATCGTTATGTAGAAAGAAACATTACATGAAGTTTACACTGTAACCTCTTTATTAATAAAACCTAAATCACTATTGTACACCTCTGTCTCTTTCTGTCAAATTATGTGTACCTGTAATGAATAGAGACAGATGAGTACTATAGTTATATCAATGCAATTAGACATTTAGTTTTTCTGATATGGAATCAGTCACACTGTTTATCGATTTGTCTCTTTCTATCACGTTGTGCTTATGTTTTGATGAAAAGAGATCATCATATCAACGGTACTTGAGTTGATATAGTTATATGATATGGGTAAAATTCGATCGAGGCTGCGGTAAGTATGCGTCCCGTATATCAAATCCTATACGGGTAAGACAAACGGGAGTTGTACTTACCGCTAAGACTCTGTATCGTACCCTAAATTATATTGGTCGAATTGCACCGTTTAAACTAAAAGTACGCACCTGTCCCTTTTCATCACAGCGTAAACACAATTTGACAGAAAGAGACGAAAATATTAACTTTTTTTATTAACAGAGATAATTTTTTATGAAAAAAGAGGTTAGTCTTTATCGTGAAGTAGTGAACTAAATTACAGATTTTTCTCTTGCACAAAAAAGCACTTCTTTGCCTTGTAGTTAGTTAAGTATATACCACGTTACATGTTCATGTTTCACACCATATGTACTTAATTACATAATAGATTCCATAGTCAATAATATAAGCGATAGCGTAGATGCTTTCAGTATTTCAAAGTGTTTAAGGAAATACATATTTTGGGATCAAAATTATACATGTAACATTCGGCAAAACAAAATTGAAAATTGGTCACTTGAATCATTTTTGCTTTTTAGTTATTATAAGCTGGTCTTAACATGCATAATATTAATAAAATTAAAATATAAGCCAATGTTTAAGCAAAACTTTGATTCAAGAGATACAAATTATTGAGCAGCTTTACTATTTTCTAAGTAATATTTTGTTTTAAGATGCCATTTGTTGTAACTCATGTTTTAATATTAAATTAAAATCGATAAAATATTCGTTTTTTATTTCTAAAGTACCATGACCGTGCTATGAACGTAACGCACAGTACGAGCTACTATGTCCGAGCGTTTCAACAGCGCATCAAAATATTGCGTAATGATTTTAGCGTACCAACTCCAAAGCCAACGTACTGGCGAGCCTGAGTTTGACAGTGTGTGTCCATGGGCGACTTTACTTAACATCAGGTGAGCCCTATGCTTTAAAAAAAGAAAACCCTACATATCAAAATGACACAGGCGATGGCACGAGAACACATGTATTAATTTGCCTGTAAGTATATTTAAATAATAAAATAAACTATATTTACGCAAAAGATTTAATGCAAACCTTATAGGTTAAGTGATGTGCTTACAGCTCACAAACAGAAGGATAATGGGGGGATGGCCATTGCGCAGTAATATTTAGAATTAAACTAACATTGATTTGCATTAACATTGACCTTAAATAACAATTTATGTTTACTGTTTGTACGGGCCGTGTGGTCCCAGTGGCTGGGGTCAGACGCAATGAAAAGATTAGGCTAGCGTCCGCCCGCAAATATAGTGCACTGGACTTGTTTAGGTTTAATTAAGCCTAATACAAGCAAACTGAATCTGAGATGTACGTAGTCTTTAATGTGATTATCATAAATACAAGATAAGTCAGTAAGTAGGACAGTCGAGTCAAAATTTGTTATATAGGTAACACAATGTACACTTATGAACGTCAAAAAAGAAATATATATTAAATGCTTCTAATTTTACATTTACCTGGCAGTAAATGTATCTCAAATCAAGGATGTAAACGAAAGAGAAGAAATGGCAATGAACTCTCCGCCACTCTTTTTAATCGCCAAGTTTTTGTTTTACACAATGTTTGTAAGATGCTGCAACCATTACACCATGTTCCACATGACATCTTAAATAATCAATAGTTAATTAATCATAGTAAAATAAATTAAAAACAATGATTTGTCCTCTATCAGCAGTAGGCATGGTGAAATAGGAGCACGCACTTAGTTTCTCGTGGGAACAACATGCAAATACATAGTCGAAATAACTAGCATCACCGCATACACGAATTCAAGTCCGACCAGTCACCAGTGAGATTTTGTAAATTATAATAAGTGAATAATTATTATATATAGGTGCATTATTTTAAATAATATCAAATCAACTACCCAGACTTACGGATGTTTTTCTTGTATGCGACACAATCCATTGACTACCCAAAAAAAATCATCTGAGCGGTGTGTCTTGAAAATGATAATCAGTGGGTAAAATATATTTAAATTAAAATGTAATAACTTTA